AAAAACAAAAAATCTATATACATATACGAATTAGTGAGCGGCTTTAGGTCCTCGGTTATAGCCATAAAATAATTACAATAAAAGTACAATAAAAAATCAATTTTTAATTAAATCATATAAAAATAACCGTAAAAAGAGGATTTGGTTATAAGTTCTCAAGGGTATGGTATCGAGATCTTAATCATTCAGGATTGGTTTTCCTAGGCCTTTTTCTGGATATTAGTCGTTTTTTCTTGACACAATCAGACATTTATCATATGTTGATTGTCCCATTATTTTAAGGGGTATTTTACAGGAGCACGGCCTGTAAATACAGAAGGTCGTGTCTTAGCTTGCCTAGCTATTCTGGTCAAATTTGCCTCTAATTGACAATGTTTTCTGCGTACCCTTGTTCGTCCACAACCAATGACCATAAGGTGGGTGAATTTTATTTAGCACGGTTTGAATCTTGTTGAAGATCCTTTCTATTCCTTCATTATATTACTCAATTCAATCGATTTACATGAGGTGTTATCATCAGCTTCCTATATATCTACGAAGCCACAAAAAGTAATATCTTTATTGTACTTTTAATTTTCTAATTTATACGCAGCATTACGAAGGTTAACCATTGGTAGATTTGCTTTTTTTTATAAGCATATTGTGCTTAAGCAGTGGCATTTTTTAATGGATGCTCCTGAGGAATGCAATAGCTTAATTTTTTCTGTACACTCCCATATTATAGGGACATATGCTCTGGTGGTTTTAAACAACGATTTGATTGATATTATTTCATTACGCATTTTATGTACTGATTCTTAGGAGTGCTTTATTATTTATCGATACTAAGACATTAAATTATCTTAACAGGATTTAAGCTATGAGCGCGTAGATAGAAACATGAAAGCAAACGCTAGATCTAAGCAGAAAGTTATACTCTGACTGTGAAAGGGTTTAATATTTCCACAGTTTCACTTGATTACCTTTCGATTAGGCATCCTAGGAATATCTCGTCAATTCAACTGGTCGCCCAAAATACTTTTGAGTCCCTAAAGCTGATTTAATCGGAGTGCACAATAATTTAAATGGCCCAGCGAAGCGGTTACAGTCGAGGGGGGTTTTGATAAGACTGTTTTTGATGTTTCGTCAAAGGACCGGGGAGACTTGTTCTATTGGATTCCACAGAATTTGGCATCGGGTGTTGAAGGGACCCTTGGGATCCATCCACAGTTTTGTATTATTGCGTCAAGTAATTTAATTTCCCTGGCGTTATTGTAGGAATTTAAGCATAATTTGATTGTCACTTTTTTCTCTCTCCATTCTTTGGAAAGCTTTTATCCTTTTAGTTTAGCCCATTCTTTAACTAGTTTTTGGTTTTGAGAATCAGTACTTTTCAGATTATTTGTAGTTTGTCAATCCTCCCTATCACTTCTCTTTGAGTAGTTTCGAATTTGGAGTTTCCATACTCTTGATGATGAGAAGATTGTCAATGTATCTTAACTGTTTTAGAGGCAGGAAAGTTCAGTTTATTCCTAGATAAGTTAAGTATATAATGCTTCCGTTTCGGCTCCCTCCGTGTGATTTTTTCCTTTTGGTGTTTTTATATAGTTCCCACGAAAAAATGTGGATAAAGAAAAAGGCTTTTTTTAGTTTTGAACTAAATTATTTTAGTGAAGGGTTGTAGGTTCCAGAAAACAAGCTAACATCTAAAAGAATTCGTAATTTGGACGTTTCCAAATATTTTGATCCGCCTATCCCTGCTGTTTTGGCCTGTCGGGCGCGTTGCGGCTTATCCTGTTCTCCGGTCTGTTATATGCTCGTTATACTTTTACAAATTTGTTAGATGCAGTTTTATTTTTTAAATAAAGAGTCTTGTCACAGAAGCTGAGTTTTTTACTCGAGGTACGGTAGAATTAGATCTCCAGTGATTTAATATTTTTAAAGGTTAGCTTAGAGTAAAGCTTAATTAAAGCAATACATTTTTTAGCTCAGATCTCGCTTTTGGCTTAGATACGTTTCATTATGGGTATTTCAGTTGACGGTGATGCTATCATTTCGGCGGAACTATGCACGTTTCGGGCCTCCGGGATGTCCGTTCTGAAGAATATGTTGAATCTTCTGGTTCACCACTGACATTATTTTTTTATTATATTTTTTTTCACTTTCGACAATGCAATTCTCGCGACGCAGTCAGAAAGTGAAGCCGAAATTACAGTTAAACTGTTAAGGAAATGAGAAAAATAATTTAGAGGGTATACTCAACTCCTCGTTTTGAACCAACGATTTCTCCTCTAAACTGTTTTCACTCGTATGTCATCCTTACATTTTTAAAACGTTTACTACTAATACAACACTTTAAAATACTATTTCACAAAGGTTTAATTCCATAAAATAACCCAATTATATAGGAGGTTTAAAACCAATAGGACAAAGTTTAGGTAAATTTGAAAACGGAACATGTCAAACTATTGTGACGTATTTGCAATCCAATAAATGTATATACAATATAATACATGTTTACAATGTTATAAAAAATACGGGATAAATACGTGATGCCCATAGTTGGATAGTTACCGCGGCGTTGTGAACCTGTAGTTTGTTGGTTGGAAGATAGCAAACGATCAAACTACAAGTTTATTTCTCATTGACCTTCAAATTGTTTTGTCGTACACATGTCACAACTTTAATATAAATAAATAAATTTAAAAAAAGAAGAATCATGCTTAAGAAGCGATTCTCAAAAATAGAAATAGCCAATTAGGTACTAAGGAATGTCAATGGTCTGCAAGGATGCCATCGTGATTTAAATAAAATAGTACAATTTAATTATGTGTACAAGAGATTACAAGAGATTGCAAAAGTTTTAATGAAGTAATTTACTGAAGTAAATATTAATGTGAATTCAAAGTGTTAAGTTAAACCTCACTAATTTGTCCATTGTTGATAACTTCGAGTTGATTATTAGTTGAGTACCTAAATTGCAGACTATTCCGGCTGTTAGTTTTGTGCCTTGGGCGACACCCCGGGTTGAACCTACCTTCAGCCTAGACAAATTTATATAATTAAAGGGGGCAGTTCATAACAAAGGTTAAATTTTCAGTGCGTTGGGCGTTATTTAACTGAAAACGACAAGCAATATCTGTAACGGCGGCGTCTCTAATTAAACATAATATATGGTTATTCCCTTAAATGGTAGTCAGTAATAATTTTCCTTGAGCATAAGTTAGTCTGTGACTAATTGGTGTAATTTCAGGGGCAACTGTTATATCTGAAGGGGTGGTTTGTGGTATTCCTAAGGGCCGGTTATGCAAATTCAAGGTTAGAACATATTTGTTAACCAGTTCCTTTATGATATGACCCGTATTGATTAAAGACAGCTATAGGCTTTCAAATTGACTCAAATAATCAAATATATTTTTTTACTCTTTGAGTTGCTTTATCGAAAGATAAAGGGTAGTTTTTTTAACGATTGAATTTTTCTTCCTTCATAGTAGGAACTATTAAAAAAAAAAAATCGCGATTTTTATAGACGAGAGTGGCCACAGTCCCAATTTTACAAAATATTCTTTACAAGACTCAAGAGAATTTGCTCCGGCTATAACACTCGTTGTACGTTTTGTAATGCAAATTTACTCGAATGGATGAGTAACTACTCCAAAACAAAATACAGCAACTACCAATGGAAATAATTATACAAAATGGAGCATAGATTTGGATAGTTCAGTAGCCAGTTTGGTCAGGTTGTAGGAATAGTAAAACCTAGGAAAGTATTGGCTATGCTAGTAAACTATCTACATTTATGTTGCTGGTATTGACAAAAAAACAGAAGTCTTATAGTCTAGACATGCGGAGGGCTGGCGATGACCTCAGCTGTTTGTCGGCCCATAAACCTTCCACTTTATACTATATATAGTCTAGAACACTTGAGTGTCAGGCCGAAATCACCATGTTTTCATTTGATTTTAGCTATGTTCAATTTTCACTAATAAATCATTTGAATTAGCAAAAAAGTTCACGAGCATCATCAGATAAAAGTGATGGCAGGCGGTAGGTCGTTTATGAACAATAGAAAGATCATATTGCCTAAAATGGATAGCTTGCGGTACTTTGCGAAAAAGTGATTTTTTCGTTCTGAACAGAGCTCGTTTACTGGTGATGGCGATAGTTTTCAGCCATTAAGGGAACTATATAGATTTGTGTGGCATTTTACTTATTTGTTCATTGTATTACAATCACCCCAACTCTTTATCGATGACAAAGAGTTAGGCTTGATTGTTGGAACACTGAGTGTGCAGGGAGGGTGCAGCTTTGGCCTCCCCATCCACAAAATATCTTTTAACGTCGAATATCTCATGTCCTTCGACATCTCCTCGCAAGTGGTAATTTTGAGAATGTTCAGCCCACAGCTTTTATTCACCCACCACACTGGCAGCTTATAATATAACCTCATAGTCGTTATAAACCGTATTCTTTTTGCGTTCTGTGGGTTCTATTCCGGCCTATTATTTATTAGAACTGAACAAAACATTTTATTAAGGATGCAAAAAAAAATCATGGCTACAGTGGGTGGGTATCGACATGTTACTAAAGATCCAGAATAAACTGTTGAAGGCAATTAGTTAGACCGAAAGCTCGACAAAGAATTGAGTGCTCTACGGTTGTCTCCGATTCTTTTTCAATCAACATTAGAAGGCTGATCACAAAATAACTGCATACAAGTAACTGCCTGAATTCACGTGGTCGGCCGATTTTCTCTCCCGAGAGGTTTCGATGAACCCGCGACTGTCCATCTTTTTGGGGCGCCCTCTTTCGCGCTATCGCAACTTTTAAAAAACTCCAATATATATTATACATGTTATAACATAATGTCTGTTTTATACATATTTTTTAATTATTTATTTCAGTAAATTCCAATACGTTTATATACAGTTAGCTACACCTACATTTAGCTGTGCCTTTTATACCAAATGTACCAAAACATTTCCCTATTAATTCAATGGTTAATGACTAATGTTTTTCAGAGTTGGTACAGTTTATGAAGTCATTGGAAATTATACATTATTCAATCACCATAGCACTTTTGTCTAGAAGCTTCAAACTTCTTGATGCGTCGGACAAGAGTAGCCATTTCCATCATCACAAACTGGCTCCTGATTTGAACTCAAGGAAACAGTCGGTTGCATATAGAAATAACAGGAAGGTTGATTTGTTGAAAGCAAGCACAAATAAAAATATTATCTAATTGAAATATACTTTTATACTAAACATTTGTTACGTTTCTTTCCTCTAGAGTTATACTTGCTGTCTCCTGCTGCCGTTGCTTCACGCCGGATGCCGGAAGAACCAGACGAACCCTGGCATCGACGTGTCAGGGAGTGCGCCAAACCTTCCATCCATACAGAGGCGTAAATGTTTGAAACGGCTAGTATACGTAGTAATGCTGAAGAAGAGACCCAGGCTTGGTGGAGGGAGTGACCGATGAGAGTTGAGACCACTGTGGCGGTGTTGAGTGTTCACTGTTCAGTTCGCTTCCAACTCGACTCGTCGTTTTTTGCGGCGATTCCTCACCTTTGGCAATTAGGAATACTGGGACATTAAACACACCAGGACACCAGGTAACTGTTTACTCTGAATAGAATAGACTTTCGAAAGCTTTTGAGTTTTCCATTTTATTTTCTTAGGAGTGGATAGTAGTTTCCAGCAATTGTTTCACTTTACATAATTTAAATAATTATTCTTCTTTAGCCTTCTACAAAATAGTACAAGTCTAATAGTACTAGTTTTTTACAAAATAGTCCTGACGTTTACTTCTATGACTCATTATGAATTTCATGAAATTCTATGGCGTTTTTCATCGGTTCACTTGAGTGACTTCAATGCTGAAAAAAGAATAGATAACTTACATAAAGCCAGTGAACCCGAATTTGCCGTAATTAAATTTCAAAAAGTAACAATATTGACTGATTTTCAAATATTTCTGCTTACGATGTATAATTTTCCATCGTGTATAAACAATCGTCATGATAGATCTTGCATTTTCGTCAGGCTAAATTTTGTGCGGTTGAATGTTGGTGACCTTCAGGGGTCAGTTTGGCGTCACGGTCTTAGCCGTCCTCCTGATGGGATTTTCACAAGAAATGCATATATTACGGAAAGGTCAGACCGTTATAACAGGACCTGGTTCGTATGCTCGTCTAACAAATCAAAAGTTGGGCCTAACGCAGGGAGTTTTCAAGAAAAATCTTCATGTCTAGCGAGTAAAGTACAAAGTAATTTTTTTTTAAAAGAGAGTGAACAATAAAACATTCATCGGCTTTTATTGTGACGTAAATAAGAACCGTGATAAATTGAAATAATTAATTCCAATTAACGTGACATTGCTTGCTGTAGATAGACTTTTAAATTATACACGAGACCGATTATTGTACAAGCGATTTAGCATTGATAATTTATAATTATACATCTCTCGCCTGAACGATAAGTAAATAAATTTCAGTTTTTTAAAAAGCCGAATGACTCCCGACCTCGGGTAAGTGCTCCCCCCATAAATCAGGGAACCAATACGTATCTGTTTGTCAAGCTCATGGACTATTATCAGATCTTGCTATGTTTACAAATTGCAGTATCCTGTATAAAAGTCTATTTTTGTTCAGCTTTCAAAACTTTTACATACTAAAAATTCTTTTTGGGTGTGGCGAAAACCTTATTGACCATGATCACTGTCCATACAGGATAGACCCAAACTTTGTGACTGTATTTTACAATAATTGGCTTAGGTGTTCACGAGTATACCCAATACACCCAATATACACGGTCATAAATGAAAAGCATGTTTTTCTCCACATTTCTCTATATATCTCAGAAACTATTTACTTTTTATAAAAACGTGACGAAATAAATGCTATAGAAAATTAAATTTCCTTTTAAAATAAATTTACGTAAAACTTTCTAGGCCTGAGTTAGGCAGTTGAGATAAACAGTTTTAAATAATAATATCAGTAGTGATTATTCTTGATTTTCTACTCAGCTGATGCTTAGGGAAATTCAATTGTAATAAAATATTTTGCCAAAACAATAAATAAAATATAAAAATAATAAAAAACAATAAATAGGAAACTTTCTAGGATTAGAACTATCTATCCAACAAATTTAAATCATTCCAAACTAAAATTAAAAACACAAAATGAAAATAAATCCCATTTGAACCATAATTAATAACATTATATCCACAGTGATTATATTAATTAGGTTTTCAACTCTACCAAAAAGATTTTTTATGGGATTGGCTGGGCCCGATTGTCCTCCAGTTGTTTATCATCCCCCAAGCCAAACTGATTTCCAAATGGAGAAAACAGCGAGGCATGACATACATATCCGGATTTGCCTACAATTTGTACACAAGTGAGCAGGAGCACAACATAACCGAGGAGCCAATAATATCAAATTAGGACTAAAGATGTCATGGCTTGTGTAACCTTGAAGAAATGATCACATTTTCTAATAGATAATTCATTAAGGCTTTAATCTTCAAGGGACAGGCCGGGGATTGACCTCCACCCGCTCACTCTCTCGAACAGACCAAGGACTGATGGAACCTCGACCCTCTCACTCTCTCACTCTCTCACTCTCTCACTCTCTCACTCTCTCACTCTCTCACTCTCTCACTCTCTCTCTCTCTCTCTCTCTCTCTCTTCCTTTCTCTTTTTTCTCTCTCTCTATCCTCCTCTTTCTCTCTTTTTCTTCTCTCTCTATCCTCCTCTCTCTCTTTCTCTTCTCTCACCCCCTCCCCTCTACAAATACAAGATATTTAGAAAATGCTGCCAGACCTTACTGATAATAATAAATCAATGAACTTCGTGAGCTAACATAAAGATCTGATGACACAGGGACATTTTTAGATTCATGAATTTGGGTCTTGTGTTCTCCCTTTTTATGAAGTCGACCTTTTTAACAAGTATACCTGTTTCCTCGTTGCCTAAAAGTTCCCCCATGACCAACTCCTCTCCCCTTCAACCAGTGCCAGCGTCTGGTCATTTTTCTTAACCGGTATCCGACGAGGTACAATGATGTTCATAGTGCTAATGTGTATTATTTTCCTTGCTTGCTCCAGAAACACAATTTTTAATGTATAATAACCCTTAAAAAAAAATCATTTCCATAAATACTTTTTGAGCATATAAATCTTTATAATTTTGCTTGGCTTTTAATTTTCTTATAATTAAACTGAGCGTATAAGGTTGGTAAGCTCTGGTACGCGACTTCTGATTCTGACTTTTGAGCTAATACCAGATGCTCAATGGGGTTGAGGACAAAACTATCAACCGACCATTAAATATTTTTAGTTTTGCCAATCTCACTCAGTGTGTTCTTGCATTGTTTCTTGCAAGGATAAAAATTCCAATCAAAAAGTGCTACTTACGTGATTTTGTAGGACTTCTTCTACATTTCTATCTCGATGTGATTTATAGCAACCTTAATATTATAATTGCTTACAAAAAAATCAGGCAAACTATCCTAATTTATGATTTTTATGTACAATTACACTATCTACAATCAACCAGAGGCGAGGAATAACATGTAGGATTAAAGTGAAATTCCTCACCATGATGAGACCGACAAAAGAAAAATCTTCCTACTTTCATCGCTTGCGCATGAACATTTTCAATTCATTCAAAGTTCGACGAGAAAAAGATTAAACTTGAATTTTTCTTTTTTTTTTAAAAGTATTTTCAATAATCATTTTCATCGTTAAAAAAATAACAGTTGAACGTACAAGTTTTACTCGCGTCCACAGAAAAATGGCGAATCTATCGACAAATTTGTTTAAGGTTATGCGCGCACATGTGATTTTAAAACTCCCCGATTTGCGACAATCTGTAATTGTATAAATCTAACTGTCTCTGACCTATTCAGAGAGAAAATGCTAGACTGAAAAACTGGTCAACATAATTATTGAGAGCGAAAGGGAAATATAGAAAAAATAAGAAAAATCTTGAGCTTTCCTAAGCGTAAATATAAGAGCCACGTGTCCCCAAATGCTGGGAAGGCATGCATGCCATGGGATAAGCACAAAAAACCTACTCGCTACCTTAACATACATATATTATACCCATATTTATGGTTGGGTGTCTGACTCATATTTGCCACGCTAGCAGTCCTGGGTTCGAATCCAAGCTTAGCCAATTGGTTTTTAATTGTGAATTATGGAGAAAGTATGGTAAAGTGGTTTGACCCCCTTGTCTACGATAGACAATGTATAGTTGCACGTTAGCCTTCCTTTAATACAGGTATACTTTACACAGAAAGTTCTACACTTCAAAAGCAGATTAAAAATAAATGTTGAATTACTAAAAATTAATAATTTTGTGTCATGTTGTATATCACAAACACAATATCTCAAAAGTTATTTTTATGTATTATATGTAGTATTACTTATTGTGTACAAGATTCAAGTAATACAGATAGCTTTGTTCTTTCATTTTAGTGACAATCATAACTTCATGGTTTGTTTTTTATTGTTAAAGGATGCAAAAATGGAAGACAGTATTTGTGACAGGAGGAGCTGGTTACATAGGAAGTCACTGCATCGTGGAATTGCTCGAAGCTGGCTACAATGTTGTTGCCGTCGACAACTTTTCAAATTCAGTTTGTGAAAATGGAGAAGCCATCAGTTTAAAGAGAGTCGAGTCCATTACAGGAAAGCCAGTGAAATTTTATAAATGCGATTTACTGGATAAAGAAAAATTAAACAGCATTTTTCAGAAGGTGATTGATTACCAATTGAACATATCAGTTGCTTACATTAGTAGAATGATAATTTTCACGTTTCAGTACAAAATTGACTGTGTAATTCATTTTGCTGCAATCAAGGCTGTTGGAGAGTCGATGCAACAACCTTTTATGTATTATAAAAACAATCTTATTGCAACGATCAATTTGCTTGAGGTACATATGTTTAAATTACTTTTTTAAACCTGTCAAAATTTCAATTTATTTGGTTTTAATACTAATGAATAAGAATGTATTAAGGGTAGAAGTTAGTTTTTAAGAATGTTTTGTGAAAATTGAGGCTTTATTGTGCAAAAATCGTATTAGCTGATTGCTCAAAGATTTGTCCATCAGCTAGCCACAACAGTTTGTGACAAGGAGGTCATTCACAACACTTCTTGATCTCTTTTGTGTCTTTCAGCCTTTTCCTATCTGCTGACACTGAGATTGGTATCCTTGAATGACACCAATAATATTTTTAACGCCAATGTGTCACTGTCAAAATCTGTTTAATATCACTTGTGCAGTAATAGAACAGTTTGTTAATTCAGTGGTGCCCTGAATTTGGTCGCCTCAAGTGCCACATATACTCTCCCTGTATCATTGAAATATTTTTGACAATGACGAATAATGAGCGAACACGATTGGCAAAGTAGCCACTTTGTTTCCAGATATAGGGAGATGATTCTGATTCATGCTAGCTTGTATGACTCGTTATTTATTATTCATCCCAGTCAACTTTCACATTCATGTCAACCGTTTAGCCACAATATCAGTTTTTTCTTCTTTTTTTTCTCATTTTATTTATCATGCATCATAAATTATGTCAAAAACTATGAAAGGCATAATACGATTACTTCGAGGTCTTGTTGGATTATCTTAACAATAATAATTTATGAATAATTATTTTGACATGTTCCACTCACTATTCTTTTCACAACCATATGGACTGTTAGGGCGAATATGACTTTTTTCACTACCTCAACAGTCCACGATTGGTTTTGCTTTGTATACCTTAGAGTCTCTGTATTGTGTTTTGTGACGATGAGGCCGTTCGCATCCCTTCTTGACCTAAGTTTTGTGTTTTAATTTTTCTTCCTAACAGCTGACTTTGAGATTGATATCCCTGAATGCCACGGATCATGTTTTTAATGACAGAATCTGTTCAATATACCTTGTGCCATAAGAGAAATATCTGTTAATTGAGTGATGCCCTAAATTTAGTCGCCTCGAGTGCCACATAGTCTCCGTGTATCATTGAAATATTTTTGACAATGATGAATAATGAGCGAACGCGAACGGTGTTGTAACCCAATGACTTTGTTTCCTCATACAGAGAGATCCTGATTCATGATAGCTTAAATGATTTGTTATTGCTCAGCATTCCAATGAACATTATCATCAATGTCAATTTTTTTTAAACATGCATCAGAAATTATGTCAAAGACATAGAAAGGCATAATACGATGACTTCAAGATCTTGTAGGATCATCTCATTGTTCTCAAGCATTCAATGAGAAATGCGACAGAAAAAGTTTGTAAACAATATTTTCCACATACTCCACACCCTATTCTTTTCACAGCCATGTGGACTGTTCAGGGCCAATATAACTTTTCGCTACCTCAACAGTCCATGATTGGTGTTGCTTTGCATATCTTAGACTCTCTATTGTGTTTCGTGGTGATGAGGCCGTTCCGCCTTCTTGATCTAAGTTTTGGTCTTCTGTTTTTTTTCTAGTAGTTGTAACTTTTTTTCATGTGTCATGCATTAGAAATTATGTCAAAGGCATAATACGATGACATCAAGATCATCTTAAGGCATTCAAGGTACTCGGCTTATTATCTTGTAGGACGATCTCAACGAATCTTAAGTATTCAATGAGAAACACAGCCCATAAAAGATTATAAATACTTTTTTTCACATGCTCCACCTACTATTTTTTTCATTTATCATGCATCAGAAATTATTTCAAAGCCTTAGAAAGGCATAATATGATGACTTCAACATCTTGTAAGGATCATCTCAATGATCTTAAGTATTCAGTAAGAAATGCAGTCCAAAAAATTTATAAATACATTATTTTCGCTTCGAGTATCACGTAGTGTCCCTGTGTCATTGAAATATTTTTGACAATAATGCATAATGAGCGAACACGATTGGCGATGTAACCCAATGACTTTGTTCCCACGTACAGAGAGATGATTCAGATTCATGATAGCTTATATGATTCGTTATTGTTCTTCCCAAACAACTTTCACATCCATGTCTACTGTTTAGCCCCAATATGATTTTTTTTAAATTTATTTATCATGCATAAGACATTTTGTCAAAGACTATGAAAGGCAAAATACGATGACTTCAAGATCTTGTAGTACTTTTTTTAAAAATATTTATCATGCATCAGAAATTATGTCGAAGACTATGAAAGGCATAATACGATTACTTCAAAATCTAGTAGGAGTTTTTTAAATTTATTTATCATGCATTATAAATGATGTCAAAAACTAAGAAAGGCATATACAATGACTTCAAGATCTTGTAGGATCATCTCAATGATCTCAAGCATTCAATGAGAAATGCCGCAGAAAAAGTTTATAAATACATTATTTTCCACATGCTCCACTCCCTATTCTTTTCACAGCCATGTGGACTGTTCAGGACCAATATAACTTTTCGCTACCTCAACAGTCCACAATGGGTGTTGTTGATTTGCATATGTTAGATTCTCTATATTGTGTTTTGTGATGTTGAGGCAGTTCACCTCCCTCCTTGATCTAAATTTTGTTTCTTAAAGTTTTTTCTTAACAGTTGACTCTGAGATATTTCTTATTGAGCGAACACGATTGGCGATATAGCCCAATGACTTTGTTTCCATGTACAGAGAGATGATTCAGATTCATGATGCTTATATGATTTGTTATTGCCCATCTCAGTCAACTTTCACATCCATATCAACTGTTTAGTCACAATATGAGTTTTTTTAAAAATTTATCTATCATGCATAAGACATTAGGTCAAAGACTATGAAAGGCTAAAATACTATGACTACAAGATCTTGTAGTAATTATTTATTTATTTATCATGCATCAGAAATTATGTCAAAGACTATGAAAGGCATAATAAGATTAGTTCAAGATCTTGTAGGAGTTTTTTTATAATTCATGCATCAGAAATTATGCCGAGACTAAGAATGGGATAATATGATTACTTCATGATCACTAGGATCTTCTCGTAAATCTGACCCATTGGTTGGCTTATTATCTTGTTAGGAGCATCTCGATTATCTTAAGTATGCCATGAGGAATGGAACCCATAAAATTTATAAAAATGTTGTTTTCCCACATGCTTCACTCCCTATTATTTTGACAGCCATAAGGACTGTTAAGGGCTAAAAGACTTTTTTCGCTACCTCAACAGTTCACAGTGGATGTTGCTTTGCATATGTTACTCTCTATAATGGGTTTTGTGTTGATGAGGCAGTTCACATCCCTTCTTGATCTATGTTTTGTATATTAACAGTTGTCTGAGATTGTTATCTTGTTGAGTGAACACGATTGGCGATGTAGCTCAATGACTTTGTTTCCACATTCAGAGATAGCTTATATGATTCATTATTGCTCATCCCAATCAACTTTTACATCCATGTCAACTGTATAGTTGCAATATGATTTTTTTAAAAAATTTATCTATCATGCATGAGACATTATGTGAAAGGCTATGAAAGGCAAAATACAATGACTTCAAGATCTTGTAGTACTTTATATTTATTTACCATGCATCAGAAATTATGTGAAAGACTAATTAAATCAAATAGCACGACTTCAAGATCTTGTAGTAAGTTTTTTAAATTTATCATGCATCAGAAATTGTGTCAATGACTAAGAAAGGCATAATAATATGACTTAATAATGATCATGTAGGATCATCTCGATTATCACAAGCATTCCATGAGAAATGCAGCAGAAAAAGTTTACAAATACATCATTTTCCACTTGCTCCACTCCCTATTCTTTTCACAGCCATATGGACTTATAAGGGCCAATAGGACTTTTTTCACTACCTCAACAGTCCACACAATATGTGTTGCTTTGCATATGTTAGACTCTCTATATTGTGTTTTGTGATGATGAGGTAGTTTACATCCCTTCTTGATCTAAGTTTTGTATCTTAATGTTTTTTCTTAACAGTTGTCTCTGAGATTGTTATCTTATTGAGCGAACACGATTGGCGATGTAGCTCAATGACTTTGTTTCCACATACAGAGAGATGATTCTGATTCATGATAGCTTATATGATTCATTATTGTTCATCCCAATCAACTTTCACATCCATGTCTACTGTTTAGCCCCAATATGATTTTTTTAAAATTTATTTATCATGCATAAGACATTTTGTCAAAGACTATGAAAGGCAAAATACGATGACTTCAAGATCTTGTAGTACTTGGATATTTATTTACCATGCATAAGAAATTATGTGAAAGACTAATTAAATCAAATAGCACGACTTCAAGATCTTGTAGTTAGTTTTTTAAAATTTATCATGCATCATACATCATTTTCCACTTGCTCCACTCCCTATTCTTTTCACAGCCATATGGACTTTTAAGGGCCAATATAACTTTTCGCTACCTCAACAGTCCACACAATATGTGTTGCTTTGCATATGTTAGACTCTCTATATTGTGTTTTGTGATGATGAGGTAGTTCACATCCCTCCTTGATCTAAATTTTGTTTCTCAATGTTTTTTCTTAACAGTTGACTCTGAGAATGTTATCCTTGAATGCCACCGATCATAACTTGAATGGAAAATCTGTTGACTATCACTTGTGCATTAATAGAAAGGTTTGTTAATTCAGTGATGCCCTGAATTTTGTTGCCTCGAATGCCACATAGTCTCCCTCTGTCTTCGATATATCTTTGACAATGATGAATAATCAGCCAATGCGATTGGTGATGTAGCCCAATGACTTTGTTTCCTCATACAGACAGACTATTCTGCTGTTTTATGAGATGTTACAACACTCGCTAATGCAGAAACAAATCAACTTTTATTCCATGTGGACTGTTATGTGCTCATGGATCTTATTGGAATCTATTATTCATCAGAAATTATTTCATAGTCTAAGAAAAGCATAATGTAATAACTTCATGATCTTTTATCCTAACCAATTTGCTTTTCATGTACAGAGTGACGATTCTGACTGATTGATGACAGCTTAAAGAACTCATGAAACAAACAAAACAGAATAAATAAAATAGAGATATAGCTCTCTATGGGTAACAGATATTATAAACCTACTGGAAATAACATTTAAATGATCCAAGAAAGACTTTGATCATTCATTTGTTGGTAACAGTCATTAATGAAATGACCCGTCAATATCAACATGTGTAGGTGTTTGTACATTTTGATGGGGAATGTATGAATAATTTATTGTCTTCTTTCTACATGTTTCAGCTACATGTGAAACACCAATTTTGAAGACTGAATAATTTACAAGTGGACAAATGTTTTAACGTTATTTTAATATTAATACATTTGACCATGTTATTTATGTCCTGTAAATTCAGATTATTACAAACAATTTTAACATAAGTACTTGTTGTATACTTGTTACAATGTAAAAACTGTTAACTTTCCTCTAAGGTCATGGAGAAAGCAGGATGCCACCAGTTGGTATTTTCAAGTTCCTGCACTGTTTATGGAAATCCTGAGTACCTGCCAATCACAGAAGAACACCCTACTGGGAAGATCACAAATGTTTACGGAAGGACAAAATATTTCATAGAGGAAATGTTAAAAGATGTTTCTATGGCAGAGCCTGTAAGGAAAAATTTTATTCAGCATTAGTTGATTTGAACCAACTATAATGTTTAAATTGGTAATTCAAAAACATTTTCATTACAGAAATGGAATATAATTCTTTTAAGGTATTTTAATCCAGTCGGTGCCCATCCGTCTGGTATGATAGGGGAAGATCCAACCAAACCTTTCACAAACTTGATGCCCTACATGGCACAAGTGGCCAATGGGGAAAAAGAAATTCTTACAATATTTGGCGGGGATTATGACACTCCAGATGGCACAGGTTGGTGTAAATCTCATCGAAATTGTCTCAAATTGACATTTAATTTTGCCCCAGGCGTGCGGGATTACATACATGTAATGGATTTGGCATCGGGACACGTTGCCGCTCTTGTCAAATTACAAAATGAACAAGTCAGAATAAAGGTATTGCAAAAGAACTTGTGGATAAATTAAAATATATGTAAATATTTTAATTTATTCATGTATACATCCAATTAATATATTTTATCCTTTTATAGACTTTTAATCTCGGCACTGGACAGGGGTTTTCCGTTTTACAGCTGATCAATACATTTCAGTCTGTCACAAAAACAAGAATACAGTATAAAATTGAAGATAGAAGACAAGGTGATATTGTGAACATTTATGCAGATGCAACCCTAGCAAAAGAAGAGCTTAACTGGGAGACACGTTATTCAATTGAAGAGATGTGTAAGTGGTCTAATATGTCCAAATTAATTTACCAGAAACTTTATTTATTTTATATTGATAATATTTATGATAATATTTTATAATGATCAACCTATTTCTTCTTCTCAATTCCATTGACTTAAACAAAGAGAAACATTGCAACAGACAAAGAACAAATTATAAACAAAAACATTTTTGCTTCATTCATCTTCCCGTTCTTCATGAGTATCCCATAAATTGCTCATGTTTATAACGTATAACGTGTTTATTGTCATATAATGTTATTTATATGTTAAACTGATCATGTACTGATCAGTTTAACATGTAAACAGACCTTTTCACAACCAACATCCACCAAATTACCATATTTTAAGAATTAACATTGAGTATTATAAAAATGTTTATTCTGTTGGAATATTAAAATTAAAACTATTATGTCCAACAGGTGCTCATTTCTGGAAATGGAAGACACTAAATCCAAAAGGTTATTTACACGATTCTACTGGGCCACGTCCTACAAATGGGCTGTCAAATTCTATCCCAAATGTTAATGGTCACCAACAAAATGGATTATTGTTTGTATAGAAACCATATAAAGCCTGAACAGTGGTAAATGTTATTATTTTGCATGATAATTATAAAAAACATAAGTTATCATTGTATTTAAAATAAATTATTTATATTTCTTTTATCGTTGTGTACTCAGTTGTACTCCTTTGGTAATGGATCAGAATTAGAATCATCTACTCAAAGGTACTGATACCTTTCTATGCTCTCTGCAACTTTTAAGGACTTTAAAAGAGGTGGCTATTTTTTGGAGTGGTTCATCGTCTCAGCCCCAGCTGAACTCTGTTACACAGGGCGTGACCAGGGTGGTCCATGGGGAGGTGTTCGGTAGGGATCCGTGGGAGAGGTGATTCTTGTGCTTTATATTTTCTAGCCCTTTTTCCTCATTATGCTGAATTTATACACTCTTTTGTCACGATAAACCTTCTTTTACCATTGAAGGCATGGTGCTGCACTTGTACACTTCTGGGTTATAGTCCTAGCTTTTCTTGCCAACTCTTTATATTTAGTTTGTCGACCATCAGGCTTAGTTTAACCGAACCGTACCATTCATTAACCTAGCTCCACCATTGTTGTACCCAAATGCTCGAGTCCAGCTTTTGTGCCCAAATTGACTATGATAACAAGGAATGCTAGCCTGCTCGGGCCCAGGTGAAAGTCCATCGAACAGGACACCCAGAGGTATGCGAACCTTTGGGGTACCCCTCAATGAATGGATTTTTGCATAAGCTTTTTGTATGTCGAAGAATATTTTCAGGGAGTATTTGTGGCAGGTGCTGTTGTACTTTTGTATAATCATCGCATGTGTGGTTAAGCAGCCTGCTTGTGCCCGACTGCCATGGGTGCAAGCTTCCTTGGTCAGTGCTTTTCATCCTATTGTATAGAATCATTCCAACACTTTTGCAGCAGCGATATCAGTCGATAAGAACTCTAGGGAGCTCCGGTGGAGAGTCCTACCCAGACTGTGTCTGTTAGATCTTTGGGCTAATGTCAATTGGTGTCAATTCTGAAAACAACTGCAATTCTTTTTTCTGGATTTTTGTGGCACCCTAGAGTTTCTATCAATTAAGTGGTTCTTCATAGTTGAAGAGATAGTAATATAGAGGTGGTGGTTACTTCCTCATCTGTGTATATATATTTTGTGTACATGGTTTCTCATATGCCAGTGCCCTATCAACACTTACCCTGGTTAACTATGGCAATGTGTTTGCTAGAGTTGATGAGGGCTCTTCAACCTTGAGTTTACTGGGCACCTTCAGAATTCGTCAATTTCACCTCTTATGCGTTCTTATACCATACGTGTTCTTGCAAATGGGCCTTAGCAGCTAAGAAAAATTTATTGAATTGAACAATTCAAACATTCACTAAGTTGTTTAGATATAATGTTTAATTACTCTTACAATTGCGTGTTACAATTTCGCAAGTTCGTCTGTTTCTGGTGAGCTTTGTTGGCTACAATTTTTTTTATAAGAAGATCTATTACCTGAGTTTTACTTATGTATATTGTAGGGAATTTTGGTTTAACTTCTTTATAAGCTCCAAGCTCTGACTAATTGTTTAGTTTTTAACCAACTCAATTTATGAATCCTTTTCTGGTATGTAAACATTAATGGCAAGAATTATCTGTCATGTGGTTTATTTACTTAAGCAGGAATATATATATCAAATATTTAGTTATGTTTCACATACTGGTTTAATTTTGAGTTTAGATCCATGAGTTTGCCTTTCCTTTTCCCGGGTCTTCTTGGTACCTTTGGTTATGTCTCTTTTGAATGGTTGCTTCCTTCTTATTACATAAACTACAATTGTTGAATAGATGCATGTTGTGTAGGTGTTTTCCGAGATGCCAATGACATGTGTAGAGCCTTATCTCATCCCGGTCTTTTACCCTTGTTAGCTCTAGTAATGTGTTTTGCTAGATTTGACAAGGGTTCTTTAATCATGTGTTTACTGGCAGGCATTTAAAGTTATTCAATTTATCCTTTTGCATTGTGTGGACCCATCCTGAGAAATAGGATGATACGTTGTCCCAAATATAATTTCTGTGCCTTTAATTGATCTAGATTCCCCTCTGGCCAGTTTGTCTGCTTAATTATTACTTAAAATTCATTTGTGCCATGACTGACATTGTTACGCTGTTAATACCCAGGTTTTGAAGATTTTGAATGTGAAATTTTTACGTACTCTTGTTTTTAGAGCTGCTTGGCTGTCTGATGTTATGAGGATTTTTCTTGCATCCTCATTTAAGAGTTTCTATTGTTCAAGCAAAAATACAAATAGCATGTATTTTCACCATGAAAGAGGTGTACTTCCCTAATTAATTAGATTGCTCATATTTTAGGTTTGCATATTACACTTGTCTACCATGTGATCATTTGATGTTTTCCTTCCTCTTTGTAGTCTAAGACATTTAGTATGTTTCAAAGGATATTTCCAGGGACTGTCATGGTGTCTGACTTTAATTTTTATACATGTATGCACAAAATTATATGTTAATAAATTTTTAATCGTATTATTTATAATTCATTTCCGGAGTCTGTATGATCTTTTCCTAGCTTCTTGTGTAGATGTTTGCAAAGGAGAACGTTTAATAGTATTTCCAAGGCAGCTAATGTTTGTCTCTTTCTATGATACATAAATTGGCCAATCTTTGCATGCTGCAAGATTTTTGGGTAGCGTGTTTTGGTTGAGCTGTTATCCACCAGATTAATAAGCCATAGCCATCTTTGACACCCTATCATTGATTCTGGCTTCAACTTTTTTCTGAAACATGGCCCGTTTCTATTTTTTTTTTTAGCATAGCTCTTATTAGTAGGTATCACCAGTTCCTGGCTGCAGTAGGGATGTATCCTCTGCTTAAATAGGAATGTTATCTTGATTGTTCAGTGAATCTTCTATGACTATAACTATAGAAGATTCACTGAATTGCTGATTCACAAGATTTTACTTTTTGTATAAGCATGTTGATTTCTGTGAATGGGTTTTCTTTTTAAGAGCTGTCCCTTGACTACTTGGTCTAGAAACAATGTAAATATTTATTATATGCAGGTTTCAGAATAAATAAAACTTCTACTCTTCTCAGCTTGAAATTTATCCAGTCTGATTTTTCAGGGGATTAGTGTTGTTTCCCCCCTTTGTTTCTTATGTACATACTACTTACCTACTCACTGATGTAGGTAAGTAGTATATATTACACACTATATCTGAATTCATTAAAAAATAAGTAAAAATAAAGTAAAGACCTCAACCCCCATTACTTTAACTTCCAAGGAATTATCATCAAAGGATCTTCATTGTAACCACTGGTTAAAAAGAAATGTTGCTGTAAAGCTCCTTCGATATACAAAAAAGTATATTCTATTTCTTGATTGTTATGCAAATCCTTAATTTTAATAGACATAAATAATTCACTTAAAAGGTTATTCTCAGGACTTTCCTTGTTGGTAGGCATGTTGATTTCTGAAGGGTTTACTGTTTTAAGGAATTTCCCTTAAAGCCCTCCAATGTTTCAAGTAAAAGGATAAAGGTCTTTGTACATGAGGTATTCAATATCGAGGACCTTTCTCATAAAAGTAGGTGTCAACTGTGTATAACCATTCCTAGTTAGGTGAATACTGTCTTCTTTGGCTCACAAGGCCATCAGCTATCATGCGCTTGATATACAGAAGATTCTATGCCAATCATTTCCACATTGTGATGACTTTCCTCATCACACGAATGACTTCCATATATTTTTAATATTTTCTTTAAAATTGCAATATGCCAGAGTGTGCTTGTCAAGACAGAAGGTAACATCATTATTGCCATCTTTTCTACTGTTCCCCTTTGCTGTTAGGGTAGCTGCCTTTTTTTTTAACGAATAATCTTCCTGGATCATGGATGGTTGGTTACATAACCGTTGGTTGCTATAGGTGGTGATGAATTACATAATTATTTATTTAACGGTATAGAAAGTTAATGGTATAGAGACACAACTTTCGACAAATACCAACAATAAATCATCCACAATTGCCCACACGTGATTCACTAAGTATAAGTATAGATGTTGGCAGTTTTTGATGAGTGTTCAAAAATGTATGATATCATCCCAGCTGATCTATCAAATTTTCGCCTTTAAAGATTATCAGGATCAATTCCATAAAGCTAAATGAAAACTCAACAAAGTGTTCCGAACTTATCATTAAATATTAATATTAAAAAAAGTTCTGTTTTTTGTGTGTAATGCATCATGTCTAAATAGGCCTTCGTGCTTTTATTTTTATTTTTATGAATTATAAAGAGACAATAAAAATTTCCCCAGACAAGAAGATGAAAAAGTTAAATGTTGAAAATAACGCAACTGTTTGGTGGATGCATACTTTGAACTGTCCAATGCCACAGGTGTGTCTCACAGACATGAAATGGGAAGCTTGCTGAACAACATGTGATGACATAGAAATACTGCTTAAGACATGGTATTTTCATGCATCTGACAAGCACAAAGCCAATAATTGCTTCAGAACAAGCTATGAAATATCTTGCAATGCGACTCACATGCTTATTTTTTGGTTAATATGTTTTTCTTATTGCTTGTGGTTTTATATAAAACTTTTTCATAAATCTTGCACATTTATGCATTAAAAATACATTTGTACAGGAAATATTTGATATTAAGATTTATTAAGCCTATGGCTACAGAGTTTTGATGGCAGGAGTCATAAAACAAGAAGTCAGTGTGGTAGAAGAACAAAATAAAAAGACATTCTAAAGAGAATTCATTTATATTTACAAAAATAGCTAGGGCTCATAATGTACAATGCAAGGTATTACTTGATTTTAATTGTGCAAATATAATAGTGTTGTGCAGGGAGTGACATTTTTCCAGTTACAATAAAAAATAAACGACACTGCCATGAACAATACTATTTAAGCAACATTAGAAACATATCACTAAAAAACTACTCCATTGAAAATAAAAAATGGATTTTTTATGTAACTATACAAAATATATCTACAAACAAAATTTTTTCTATTCAGATTATGTGATGTATAATTAACACTTGAAGTTCATAACACAATTCTTGTATACGCTACTGATAAGTATAATAAATTTATTCCATAGGATAGATATTGTTTAAAGCCTCAACTTCAATATGTTTAACAAAGTAGACTATATAGTTTAAATATTTGAATTTGATAAGTGTATGCATGCAGTATTGCATTCGATACCTGAAATAAACTGATTAAAATGTACAAATAATATACATTATTTCAGAATAATAGTGGTAACTTATTACGCACAGATATTACTGGTTTTATGAGTACAAAAGTGAAATTGAGTTTTTTGAAAAGTTAATTTTGAGTTGACTTTTTAAGTACACAATTTTTTATACAAAAATGTAAAGTAGTGACATGTACAATGCTTTTTAAACTTTTTATGTAAGAAAAAAAGCATTAATTTTTTTTGGCTATACCAATTTTACATAAATAGCGCAATGGCTACAAGGCAAATTGCGCTTCCATTTATTTCTAATAAATGTAACAGTTCTCTACATCCTTTGACTCATGGTCGTGAAATAGGAGAAATGGCCTTCGAGCTATTAGCACTTTTATTAAGGTGTATTATAAATTATAATTAATAATGATCTTTTTCGACGATCATTTTTATTTATATGACTAAAATAGTAATAGTTAAAAACGCTTTAAAAAATCATATTCTTGACACAGCCTTTGTTATTTGTTATCAATGCATAACAAATAATACTTTTCATTGAGCTAAGCAAAAATTTCATATTACAAATAATTACTTTCTGTAATTTTGTTAACCTGAGGTTGATTGCCTAATTCAGTGTTTGCGAAAGCTTTGTTGTCTACACCTGCCATATTTTGTGAATCTGGTGCATTTTTGTCCTTCTTAGGATCCATCATCATTGCAGTAATAGCAAACAGCACTGAGCCTGAAATCATGAAATAAACATTAAATTATTATAGACATCGATAAAACATCAATCATTAATTGAAATATCAAGACAAACAAAAATTAACATTCATATGTAGTGTTAAATTTCTTACTTATAAGATATGCGCCAGCATAAAATATGGCTAAAGCATCCTGGAATGAAGTAAGCTTACGAATGGGTTCCATGAGGATTGGCAAATTTCCTCCGATGTTGTTCATCACAAACAAAAATACACCAACTGTTGTCGATCTAACAGCTAATGGTACGATTTCAACAAGTACAGCAAAAAGAATACCGAACCACATTTCAGCTAAAATGAGAAACACGTTTTCACAGCGTACATAAATATATTTTATATGTAGTTTTTTTTTTTTTAACCTTAAGAATACCTACCAAAAAGGTATGAGATTGCCAGTGTAATCATTGCACCAGTTGGACCCATGTAAATACTACCAAATGCAAAAGGTGTTGATATCAGCTGAAATAAGAAACAAAAAATGAATACCGGCTTGAAAATGAATTACTGGCATAATCAGCTTACCTGACTTATAGCAAGTACAGCTACCCGAGATTTTATTCCCATGTTTGCTACAATTTTGTCAGATACATAGCCTCCAACCAGCACACCAATACCACCAATCACAAATGTGACAAAAAACAGCCAATTTCCAAGATTGATGTGTGGAAAGACAAATCGATAAAACTGGTCACTGTTGTATGCAAAACATAAACCACCTTAACAAAAGATAATTGGTTAATCATATACATTTCTAAATTGTACAATTTTATTTTAGGTTAAAATTAAGGTCTTAGGTATGCTAAAACCTGCATAATAATTATTTTCAAAACTAAAACTATTTTTCTAATTAATTAAGGTTAATTAAGGTTTAGGGATTCGAACCCACGATCTTCGGCTTGATACGCCGCTGCTCTACCACTTGAGCTATCGTGATCTCGATCCACTCGGACTTCCCATCTCAACCGCACCTTTTGAATTTTCCCTCCTTTTTGCCATTTTTCAAATGTCTTTTTATCTCAACTAAAAACCTTAATCAAGGTCAAGCGGACCTTGAGAATGAAATTAGTGAATTTAAAGATTTTTCTAATGACGAATATTTAGATAAAAAAGTGCAAAATATTCGTTTTTAAAAGTTTTTAGCATATTAATAAAATACTTTAACTTTCTTGAGAAATAATTAGAAAAAGTCCAAGATAAAGTAGCAAATTAGTCAATTGCTGAAATATTATGAGGTTGGGTGATATAGCTTGATATCAATTGACCTCACCTCTCATTCTTCTAGTTTTGTCTATCAGGCATGTTTTAATAATTTTTTGCCCTTAACTTCTTTAGATAGCGGACGTGTAAAAAAGAAAAAGAACCGACTGCACCAATTGAAAATGCGAAAACTGTGAAACTCATCATAGTGACCAAGTCCATTTAGCATCAAGATGACCAGAAAGCATGAAAGTAAAAAATTCAGTAGGAAAAATAGTATTTATTAAAAAAAAAAAAAAAAAATGATTTGCAAAGAAGAAGAAAAGAATGAATTCATGATCTTGATGGAATTATTTAATGCTTCTGCTTCATGATGATGTTTTCCGGACATTTAATTTACAACATAGCTAGCCATTAAATCATAACCATCACTTATTTATTTTTTAATTTTTGTTGATGTACTTCTACTATAGTAGGGTACCAAAGTGATAGACAAAACCTGCGAGAATAAGCATATCAACATAATCAAAGATGATGAAACTACAATTTCAAATTACAAAACTCAGTAGTAAAAATAGTAATTACTTTAAACAATATTATTTGATTTACAATAGAGTTAAGAAAAGAAAAGAACGTATTCATCAGCTTGGTGGAAAGAAACTGAATTAGCTCAGCCTTTAAAAATAATAATTTCTGTAATCAAATACCAACCAGTATGTCTGATCGAGGCAGCTATGCAGAGCATGATGAATCTCGGTTGAAGCATAACTTTCCATGGATTTTCTTTTTTAACCTTTTCCCCTTGTTTCGTTTCAGTCTTGTTTTCTTCTTGTTCTTCTCCAATGGCAGTTCTCGCTGGTTCTTTCAAAGTAGTGGAGCTAAGAAAACCAATAATGATAGCAAAGATACCACTTCCGTAGTAGGAAACCCTCCAACCCTATGCAACAAAAACACCAAAAGATATAAAAAACAATTTCTAATCATAAAACGATAACTTGATTAAAAAATATAATGTGCACCAAAAACAAGTTTGCATAAAAGTTTTTAAGATGATTAGTGTTCTTTCGTTAAATATTATAGAACTTACTAGATCCCAAGCATTAAGGTTTGTAATGTATCTTCCTATCGGATAAGTCAGACCAATTCCTCCATAGATACCCCAGTTGAATATGGACATTACGAGCCCTCTCAAATTCTGTAACATAATATTATTTAAGAATTAAACAATCTGCATGAAAAAATAAATTTAACATAAAAAAAATCCTACCTCAGGGAAAATATCAGATAATACACCAGTTGACATAGGATTCAATGCAGCTTCCCTGTTAAAACCGTAATCATTAGACAAATTGAAAACTATTATACAAGGAATAAAATGAAAATCGCTTACCCTGCAGCGAATATCATTCTTAGAATGATCAACTGCCAATACTCTTGAGAAGCACCTATTAATAATACTGATATCCCACAGACTAAAACACTGATAGCTATCATTGGTATTCTGAAATTGTGCAAAGATACGTAAGCTCAATTGCAATCACAGTTATTCAGAATAGTACAACTTCAATTTAAATTTTTACAAGTTTTTAATTTACTGACCTTCTGTATTTGTCTGCAGCAATGCCTAAAAATACACCAGCAATGGTGTACACGGCAATGAAACTTGGCCCAGCAACAATCTGATACTCAATACCGAGTCCATTCCTACCCCACTCGCAGTACTTCTGCCCATCTTCCAATTCCAGAGCTAAACAACTGCAAAATAAATAATGTTAAGACGAGGATATTTTTACATTTTTAAATTTAATGACACCTAAAATTCTATTTGAATAACTTATTATTTATTTGTAAAAAAATGGTAGTAACATAAGCTATATAATAGAGGAAATAATAAAAATATTGGACATCTGCGTTGAAATACTGAAAGTTAAATGGAATTAGACACAGGAATATATTATATAAACAAATTAGAAATTGTATTGATCAGTAATTTAAGCAACTTTTTAAAAGAGATGTGCTTATTTTATCTATGACATTAAGTTCTTTATTAAAAACGGTGAACATGACCAATATTATATAGCACTTAATATCTTGAGAGCCCGCTAGGTCGCGTTGCTAGTATTGTTCCACTCGTGGTTTAGAAGTGTGCTGAGAAATTTATAGCCATTCATCTTTTATGGAAATAACTGTAATCTTATAAATGTTATTCGTTTGAATTCGCAGTCGATATTTAAAATTTGGCCGTGTATTGCGAGATTTCTTCATTGGGTCTGGGATTGATGAACCTGTGGTTTGTCGTTTCCAATTATGTTGGTCAACAGGTGGACTGAGGATGGCAAAAGCATGACATACCAAATCAATTACAGCAATTGATTTAAATACAGTGGGTGGCTCTATGGACATTAATTTTCGTGCCATGAGGTCTGAAAGAAATCACAAGTATTTTTCTTTTTAAATAGCAATTCCAATCAATGATTTTAACGTTTGTGTTTGGATGTTGGCTATAAATTTTTACCAATTCACACTTCCTTGAAAGTGGAGGCACAAGGGGAAAAAATTCAACTGGTTCCTTATGAAGTACAAGGACAATAGGTTTAGACAAAAAAGTTTGGTTGTAGGTCTGGCCTAGGTTGAGGCATTGAACCGCCGGGACGTGATGTGTGGTTCTTCTTCCTATGAGGCCTTTCATCGTAACTTTTTTGTTTTGTTTTTATAGCTAGTTACTACTCTTCAAGGTGGGCCTCTAATTTTTACCTTTTTGCAAGAAAACCCTTTTGATTTTTTTACAGTACATTTCAAAATCGCCCAAAATGTTTGACATTCTTGAGTTTGTATTTTACTGGAATTATAAAAGCTATTAATTGAATTTGAATGTTTTTCTTTTCTTAACATCCCAACCAAATATACAATTGGTTTGTAGGAAAAAATACAAACGAGGGAAGAAAAATAGAACTATGCTATAGTCAGAAAATTCACTCCAATTTTAATTTGCCAATACTACTAAGTCGGAGGGTAAATCTGCTCCAAGGAATGCGAGAATTGATTAGACGACTGTTCCCCCCCCGCTTAATGATCGGTTTTCACCATGTTATTTCCCTTCCCATACACTCATTTAGGCATCAGGGCATTCACCATTCCACTTCCCAATTAGCCTATGCGAAACCGCCAGCAATCATGGCTTAACAATTTTTTTACATTCTCATATCTATATCTATTTATTGATTTAAAGCAAAGATACATTCGGATTTGATTGTTTGTCATTTGTTATACAGGGAAGAACATTTAAGCAATAAATTGTAGGTTGGTCGTTTCTGGTCATTTTGTTCTGCTTATCGTCTGACTGACGCGTTACGGCTTCTGGCCATTTTCACTGGTAATACGATCGGAAACGGCCAAACTACAGTCTCATCACCCCGCATAGGAAATACCTCACATGTCTAATGGATATTACAACGGTTGATATAAACAGGAGACAACCTTTTGTTTTACAAATTACAGAAGTTTTAATAATTGCTAATTTGAAAAGGACATTGATACGAAATTACGAAAGAGTACGTACGAGGACTCGTTCAGGGCGGCGTTGCAATTATCGGCCAGCGTGAAATTGTACTGCTCCTCGGTGAAATTGTGCTGGCAGACGATATCGCCATATCGCAGATCAGTTGCTGTCGCCTTGCTTGTCACCCCTATGAGGAAATGGCCCAATTCCGCAGTGAGGTATCCCAGAGTAAGGATGACCAGCACGTACCAGCTGTACAGCCCGGTCAACTTTTTCAGAACGGGGATCATTGCTGAAACAAGAAATTGAAATCAGTCAAAATGTCAATATTTTTTTTGTAAATTTTTATATCGTAATTTTTGGTTTTTAATGTTTAAAATGTCCTGTCGCCAACCAAAATTTCACCCTTAGCTTCTTTATATTGATTAGCAATTTTTGTAAAAACAAACAGTTGATTGTTCAAATTTGCAGTATCTGTAGATTTTTGTAGTAATCCTACTCTGAAAACGTTTAGGATGCGGCTTTTCTACAGGGCTTTGATTATTTAGACTTCTTTTTTTTTTTTGTAATACTTTTTCTTTTTTTGCTTTTTGCTCAGGTTTCTTGCGTTGTCATAAAAGGGTATCACAATTGTCCCCCCCCCCGCTAGACTGGATATTTGTTATAAATCGATTATATGTCTATTCCGTCATTAATTATCGTTTCGCATGTTCGAAGAAGAAGGTCCTTACGATTAAAACGAGGGATAATAGTTATTTACATTTAATGCGTTGTCAAGTTTCGAATTGTTGTTAGCCTCGGGAAGACTGCCCGTCACGGACGTGGGAGACAATTTTCGAACCGAATTCTGTGGGAAACGGAAAAATTCACCCGATGAATAGCGGATACCTTTTACAGACAAAATGATCTGAGGTTGTCAAGGCGTGGTAAGCTAATTTTACAAAGACCATCCACGTAATTTTCTAATTTTAGACACCGTTTCTTTTCCACGTAAAGATTCCACAAATGGGCTCCGATTAGGACAGAAAACGTTCATGCAATATGGTTCATTTATTTATAATGGATCAACGCCGACGCGTACTGAAGTGCTGCGGAACAGCAAGAACTCTAAGATATGGATGATCTAAGCTGAACGATGTGTGATAATAATGATCAACGCAGATCAAGCACAAAGCCCACTGGCTTCGCCCCCCAAAAAAACTTTTCGGTGTAAATTGTGAATGGTCTACCACAAAAAACCCACACGGGAAACATTAACAAAACATTGGCGTAAATAACCATTGAGTTTAAAATTAACGTGAAACATACTCTCATATATCGCCTGATTTTGACGTAAATTAGCTACAAAAAGCTTTTGCTATAGTTTGTTTAACTTTTTGTCAAATGTGAAGTTCGACTTATTTTATAAAATCAAAACTACTATATCCGCGAAAGTCATGCTACAAAGTCTGCCGGATTGCCTTTCACACTACCTTGTTTGCTTTTTCAGATCTATTTAGCTTTATTGTTCTGTTCATAACACTTTTATTATAACTATAATAATATTACAGTCCGTTAAAAAAGCGTGGTGAATTAAAAATTTGAAAGCGGTTTTTGTCACTTTGGATTTTCCGTCTGCAAAAGAAACCGGGTATGTCCCGAAAGAAAGAAGTTTGCCTTTCTGATAGCAAATCTCAAATCATGACACGTCCAACATGGATTATTAAAGTTTTTAATTTACGCAAATCATAATATAAAAAACAGGAAGGTTTTTCTCAATATTTGTTTTCACTGGCTCTTATACGCTGTACTTCTTTTCTCAAGGAAGATTTGAATCAATGTACATTGGAAAGATTCTGCTGCTGGGTTTACTTATCTGTTCTGATTATTTGAAAATCTGTTCTGTGAAGCTTGCTTTTAGTTATTGAGGTTCTTGGCATTTTGTTTTTAATGATATGTGTGAATGTTCATTTACAAGACGGTTAATTAGTTTGCCGACATTGAAGACTTTGTTCATATATTTATAGGTTTAGGCTGTTTGTCGTTTCCTCTCATGGTTAAGTTTTAAATGACTATCATTAAAACAAGACGGGAAAGGACTCAGTATTGGGAATTGAAAACCACCGAGAAATGGCATTAGTCGAACGCAACCGCAATAAATGAAATTTTAAACAAATACCGCAAACGACCATGTTGCTCGCTTAAGGTTAGACTTATTAACCTATCTAAAAAACAAATTTTTAACAAAATCTTGCAAAATGAATTTCAGTCAAGTTGTTCTAATTAACATCATATCTAACACAATCATGACGCACGACTCACTAAGTGTTTGTGTGTCACTAGGAAAAATAATTCTTTAAAGAGAACTCCTCTATTGACCGAATTAGTTGAAAGTTACGTTCCAGGATTCTTGAAATCTAAGCCTAAATTGCTTCCTGCAATTATTAGTGCAAATGGTTCAAACCACGTTTGACAATGGAAAAGGAGATGTGACGGAATTATTCGGACGTAAGAACGAAAAGCACTGTTTACACTGTATGCTCATAATACAATATTTTGTAATTACCTGAAATGTCTAGTTTGAATGAGAACGTCATGTTTCAATGGGAAACAAGAGACATATCCAGAAAAACAAATCTTACAGGAGGAAATCTTTTTTCTGCTAAGTCTGGAGAGTTATTTGCCACATTTATGGCATCAAATATCAACCTTAGTGGTATTTATTACAAGTGATGATCTGCTTATCCTTAGTGTTTTGGTATGTCAAACTTGTGAAAGGGCACCAAATAGACCGTCCAAAAACCAGACAGGCGAGAATAGGCTGATCAGGGACGATCACGCTACACTTTTAGATAGTCTGTGGTTCGATGTTGTATATTAATATTTAATGTATTAGTAGTTTGATTTTCCCCAGATTAATATGGAACTGACTAAACTATCATCATCCAGCTAGACAGACCCCAATTTTCTTATAATATTGGAAAGTTATTTGCCACATTTATGCCCACACCATTCTTAAAACTTTGACATACCTGTAGATATTAGGCTGCATTGAATTTTTTGGCTGAAAATTAAAAGATAGTCAAGAAATACAAATGACAGCTGAAAGATTGGTAAAATTAAAATTCATTGTCTTTTCTTCTTTAGAATAATGTTTTATTCAAGTACATTATAGTGATGTCATAATGAGTAAAACTATTTTTATGCGCAAGGATGTCAAGGTATTTATTCATGTTTGTGTATACAACTAAGTGTAGTAACATTATAAAAAAACTACACAATTATATTAGCTCGCCCCTTAATATAAAACATTTAAAAAAGTGCCAATATATTTCGAATAATTTGCCGGAGAATGCCCATATTTTTCACAAATATTCATCAACTGGAAGAAGCAACAACAAATTTACACACAATATTTCAATGTGAAGTATTTGTATTGAAATAGTATGTATGAAATTTTTTTTTTAAATTACTATAAATTGGAACGAAACACAATGCAGTTGGGTTCTTGTTGCAACCCCCCCCCACTTTTTGACCCAGGGCCAGCTAGCTAGGATTTAATTGTTTGTAAATCTTCTCTTATTCTTTGTAATAGGTGGAAGGTCACGAGCGATATATTAGGTATATATTATGCCATAAAAAATAGCAACTTTAACAGAAAGGCCCTGAGGCCGAGAAAAAAAATCTATTCCCATCCCGATGTTTTTCCTGGAGCCTTGACGTCGGCATTGCCTTCTGGTGTCATTAGAATCCAACGATTTTTTTTCAGATGCCGGTAGGATTTCATTTTTTTGGGGGTGGAAAATCTATCAGATTGTAACATCTCCATGACCGAGACAACTCCGACAAATCGAATCTAGTCACGGACCAGAGATAATTCGGAATCGCCTGTCTCGTTGAATACCAACTATAAATATCAGCGACATCCCCTACGCAGCCTTAAACCAATAGTACAACAGATCCTGAAAATTATAATAAAACCTATTAAAGAGGTCAAAATAATAAATAATTTTTATTATTGTCGCAATAGGCATCGCAGACCTTGGCCTTTGGGCATTATTTGTAAGTAGTGCAATAATCATAAATATCTCAAGCCCATAACTAGGGTGAAAGTACGCGGGGATGGCGAGATAGCTACTTGGCCGAGGGCGCAAAGCGGTTGTTTACATTTGTGAAATTATATAACAATCGTGACTGTCCCCGAGGCCCGGGTCCTTGGCTTACTCTCTTTTGGGCTCTATTATTGGAATATTTACCATTTCGGACGGAAAGCCAGGAGCCGGCTCGGCTTGCACAATTGTGAACGTCTAGCCGGGTAAAAGTTGGGGTGTTTGTGAGAATGGGGAGACCTAGAGAACAGCGTCGGCGGTGCACTCGCGAGGTGAAGGACGGAATCCGAAGGTCGTGACGAAGGGCAGAGCACGCCTTTCAGCAAACCACCCTCTAGAATATACCCGTTACTGACCTCACCAATGTGTTGAATGTGAGAAGAACTGGTCCAGGTCTCTAAAGGATGGACGATTATCAACATTGGTCATTGCCAATGCCAAGTAGACGGACCCACAATATAAAATAGATTCAATACGCCTATGTTCTTATTACGTGGAACATTGTCTATTCACGTGATAAATTTTTTATGATATCGCAAGAATTGCACTAATTTAATGGGAGATTTCATCTTGGGGTCTGCAAGGTGACGAACCTATATCGTGATCGTAACCAGAAATTTTGGTCTGCGTAGACACTCCTATCTAATTTCAATATCAATTGAGATTGAACTATGAAAAACAAAATATCCACAAAGCGCATTACCTTCCTGGTCGGCATATTCTTGACTGTTTGTCACACGCGTGTCAGCGTCCTTTTATAAAGTATGTATATCTTGACAGAGTAAAACAGCAAGAATAAGTAGACCAAAATGGACAGGTAAACATCAAAAATAGTAACAAGCAAATTGTAAAAATCCTGTCTGTCACATGTCGATTGATTTATAATTCAGTATATACGAAATTCTAATTGAAATGTTATTGAAAACACACGACTCACATTCAATTGGTCACAAAACTACTGCTGCAGGCTTTCAGCAGTTTATATTGAAATGATTATATTAGATATTCATCATGGCATGCTGCATAATGAAAACATCGATCAATATTCACAAGTTTTTAATCAGACTAGCTATAAAATGTGCCGTGAGCGTCCCTGATCGTACTGGACAGGCTGTTCTAGCGTTTTTCTGTCAGCGGTTGTGTTGTCAGTTCGCCATCTTCAGTTGGTCTGCTGATTTCACTAATCGCCACTGATGATGGCAAATAATTAATAATATAAATTACATTATTAATATAATTAAGAATTATAAAGCAAATTTGTGATGAATCCGACACTCAGGGTCGGCCCTCGTTCAAATTTTTGCCAGCAATACACGCAGGGAGTTTTTAAAAACCACGTTATCCTATGAGTCCATAAACGGGACAAATAACCCTCGAGATTTTTTGGAAAAAAATCTTGTTTGATTTCCCCCCGGGATTGGGGTGATGAACCTGTAGTTTGGTCGTTTGTGACTATTTTAGTCTGTCTATGCAACCGATCAAACTACAAAACCATACATTCTCAAAATAGACGAAATATGTAACAAGTAGTTGTATGGTATTATTTGCAGCATTTGTATCAAATTCTAGTTGAAATGTTGCATAGAAAACAATGCACATTCAATTGTTCACTCTTTTAAACATTTATTATATTTTTTTAATGTTATATTTTGTATTCATAAAAGCATTTTGCACAATGAAAACATCGATCAATATACACAATTTTGTATATCACAATAGCTGTACACTACCATCGATCTCCGTGACATTTTGTTTTAAATTATGAAAAGTAAAAAAAAAGGACTTACAAAAGAGTTTATAAGTGTAATATATTTACACTTTCGTCTTGGGAAAAGAGTAATCAAGGTGTTTTGTCGTACGACACGTGCATAGAAAACATGAGACTCTGACAAGCGAACGCGTGAAGCAAGATTCCGCGAGGGCTTCGCGCGCGCCCGCATTTTTCGACAGGTTCCCCCTATGATTATGTGGGTGCTTTCAGTTTAGCAAACCGATAAGCATTCAGCACAGGTTGAAATTGGAATAATTTAATGAAGAGAAATATTTACTTGGACTGAAAATTGATCCAACTAGATTGATTACGATGCGTTGAATCAATTTTCCGTTCGTTTTGTTTAATTAACTAGCCTATTAAATTAAAAACGGTTTAGTAAAACCTAATTATTTAAACATATTCAAAGTTTTATCCATACCCATATATAACAACCTTAGTTAAAAGATAAACAAAGATTAGTATTTTAAAAAAATCACCATTCATAGTTCGTGTTTCTTTTAATAATTGAATATAGCAATAACCTTTATCGGTATAATTGATGTGAGTCTTGATTTAACGCGCCTGGCCAAGAACAATGAAGTGAGTGCAGACTTACACAGGAATGGTGAATGGTGGTAATGAACGAACATCTCACTAATGTGAGACTCGTAAATATTAGTATTACTATTAGTTATTATTAGCGTCCATTATTATTTTCAACGTGTAATTGAGCTTTTTATTTTACCCATGCCCTAGGTATTATTTTTATATACATTGCCTAGTTATGTATTGCTGAGTTACCCTCATCGTATAACTATTTCGGCCCTATTTTCTGCCAGCAAGTACTACTATGACTACTACTACTAGTACTACTATATAAGTAATTTGGTTGTTAGATAACTATAAGTTTCATATTAACCTAAACATTTTTTTATCTATACGTTGCTTTGGGATTTGACCAAAATGTAGTTTATAATAGTTATTTAACCGTGAAAAATCAAACGCAATGTAAAGTCTTGAAGCAAAAAGTAAAATTTAAAAAGAGGTTGTCGCCTCTGGACCAACGTGCGAACCCAGTAAAGGAAAGGACTCGCGTGTTTCGACACAGTGGAACGTGTTATTTCTCACCCACATATCAATGCCATTTACGTGCAAAACTTCAATTAGCCTTTGTCTAATAAAGCGATAACATCTTATTAATCGAACGCGGAACGGCTGTACAGCAAATCCAGGAAAAGGTGCTGTCCTGGTGCATCATTTCGATTGTTTTACATGAATATGACGTTCCTGATTTGGTCCGCCTAATCTCGCTCTGTTCCGTTCAGGGTCAAGACATTATTTCTAAGCAAGCACAATCATTACATTACCAATTTTACGTAAACAGCAATAAACATTACAAAATGATTAATCTTAATTTATTATCAATCGTAACTGTTAGGATTAATTATTTGACTCCTATTTCTAAGAAAATCTTTACATGAAGTACACAAAAAATAATATTTTGCATGTTATATTTAAAAAAAATAGTTTATTGAGACGGTCTGGATGTACTTTAACCAGTGTTTACTTAAATCGACGGGTGCTAGGTCATGTAAATACACTTACCTCGGTTCGATTATCCTTACCAGCATCTCGAAGATAATCCATTCGATTTCCAATCGTGTTGAAAAACAAAAATTTATTCAAAATAGTCTTTTCCCTATTGTTCGTCTGATTCAAGGAATAACGATGTGCAACACGCAGATCGTGACTCTAATAATTCTATAAGCTCTGTTCTTGGATCGAGATTCAAATAAACAACGGACACTCGAGGTCAACCGAGTCAAGGATGGTTTAAACACAATAAATTAATTAATATTAAAAAAAGATATCGACGAAATCCATCTTTATTGGAAGGGTCACAGTTTGTACACAAAAATCGCATATTTACTTAAATTGCACGTTTGTTTGTAACACAAACGGTGTACGCTTCATCGCTCATTAATATTCAAAAATAGGCTGTGCATGGGATGGGAATCGATCATACATCATAAAAAAGAGTTTCTGCCCACCACAGATATTTAATGAAAGAATCAGTTCCAAGATGAGAAGCTACGTCAGTTATATGACCATTTGGTTTCTATAAATACACACACATCTTAATAAACCGTTTTTCCCTTCAGTTGTTAAAAAAAGTGTAAGAATTTGAGTATAACAAATACTCCAATTCTTATACTCATTTGAATTACAATTTTCGCACCGCAACTGTGATAAGATTCTTTCATACAAAGAAATTCCAGAGTCGTCAAAGCAAAACTGTAAAATAACGACTGTGATTTAACTAAAGACCGAAATGTTAACAATCAATGTTAATCATGGAAGTTCAGGAAAAGTTCCTATTATTAAACCTATTAAAAATATAAAAAGGGGCGGTCTCAATTTACAGACATCTTCCACCCCCTGTTTTACTCTATATGAAAACAAAGTTAATTAATTTTTTAAATTTTATTAATTATAAATACTGTTCGTAAAGAGCAAATTTACATTTGCATTGACAGTTATTATTAAAAAATAATGCTTTAATTTGTTAACAATTTTTTATACAAAAATTTCAATGGAAACACCCCTTGTAATTGTAAAATTAATTTGGAATAAAGTATTGTAAAGTGGTTCTGACCCCTCTTCCGCGTGACCCAACATGTATTGAACGTTCAGCCCTACTGTACAGGAATTACTTTACTTTACTTATATTAAATATTAAAATACATAATTACCAAATAATTAAATATAAAAATGTTTTATTTGTACAAATAGACACGATATTTTGCATGTATGATCGGCATATGCAGGGCGAATTAAAATAGCCCGAACGTCATAAATATATTTGTGAAATTTTAATTGCGCGGAATGAGCTTTAGAAAATTTACGTAACATTTACATAAGTTAAATGTCGAACTGATCGACTTTATTTGGCACTGCCGAAACTCTTCAGATTATATGACCCTCCGGTCAGTTTAAAGAGATATGGCCCTTTTGATAAGACATGCCACCCCAACTGAAAGTTGTAATTATTACGGTTGTTTACTTATGGGTATGTTGTTAAAAATTTTAAACCTGATTATTGGCAGGAAAAAAAATTACAGTAGTTACTATAATTTTTTTTTTAAGTTTTAAATATCAATATTCTTTCAACAACCATCGAGGTGGAATTGTCTTATGAGAAATATTTTTAGTGACATTTTTTTACGGCATAGTAATTAGGTCCACGTTAAAAACAATTAATGAGGTAGGATCTATTGGAGCTATTCCTCCCTCCAAGGAATCTATCCACAGATGCCAGAATGCCCTAAATTTCTATTTAATTTGATTTTAAAGTAAGTAGATGGATGCATGGTTGAAATCCTATTTTTTCCCACTTCTCTTTCTAATGCTTTCAAACCGAACTATTAAACTTGTCTAATATTCATTAGGCAAGAAATAGCGGATGCACAAACAGCGTCAACAATAGAGCCTTCTCTAATCAGGGAATGAAGTGTGTAATTTTAAAATTGGATTTTACGAACCTGGTTCAAAAGAGAAAATTCAGCGAGTCGGAGAGGACAAACCGGCACGTTAATAGCAACGGAACTTTTTCTTCGTCGGTCGTGTCTCTAGCCTGTTGAGTCCCGGCGTGTAAGTTGCTTGTTGGTACTTGGTCTTTTGGAACCTTTGTACTGAGAGCGGGGACCAAAAACCGACTGAACATTCTTTGGTTACGGCGGCTTTCTGGAATGGTACCCCACCAGACAACCCTCGGCTTCCCCACCAGCACACCCACCCATACTGGAGGTCAACCGTGTTTTACTGTATCGCGGGGGATTTCAGGGCAAGCCCTCCCTCTTCGCGGGGGTTCCCATGCAAACGAGGACGTCCCAGACTTGAGTAGCCGGGGGATTCCTCCGTCCTACTGGTCTTTAAACTCGCTCCAGACTCTATATTCCTTTCAAATTGTTTTTTTAAATTTATATTTTTTTTAACCCGTGCTTCATTCAAAGCGGAGGGTTAGGTTTTATTAATTTACAAACTCTTTATTTTATTAATTTACAAACTCATAGTACAATATCTTAAGTCTACTGTACTCTGAGTTGATAAATAGATTAAACATTTTAAATTCTGGAATATATATCTAACGAGTCCAAATGTTTGTTTTCTAAAATTGCATATCTTTTTTTATTTTGCTTTGAGGAAATTTTTCAATAATAGATTTATCAAACGAAAGACGAGGTTGGATTTACAACCGAATAAAATGTTCTACTAACGAACTAGACCATACTGCCTGCAGCCCACACCTTGCTCCAGGCCATGTATTCTTGTACAGTTATTCAAGACTAAAGAATAAATAAAAGCTGTTTGTAACATGCTTTTCGCTTTTAACAATCGTGGTAGTTCAAGTGAAAAAAGTTCACAAAAAACAGGTTCAGATCCTACTATGTATGAATAGCCAGCTCCTCATCATCATAGTCAATGTTTTACTTCTCACTGTCAAATTTAATCAAAATTATGTTAATCACTGAAGCATATGGACAGCGATCATGGAACATATAAAGACCATACAATTAAATTAAATGAACACACTGTGAAGATTGGTTATTTGAAGTTCAAAATAAATCACATAATAAAGTCTCCTCTATTTTAATTTGAATAAATACCTAATGGTTATTGGGATGCATGCTGGTCTGGACGCAAAACTACTCAATTTTTGGAAAACTGGTTGTATTGTGTCATACAGCAATTTCAAAAAGCAATACTAGAGAAATTTTCAACTTCTTGTTCATCCAGCATGCAGCCCCACCTCGCTCCATTGGGGTAACATCAAAACCATCTTTTTATGGACAACTATTCAAAGCTAAAGAATACATGAAAGCTGTTTATGGCGGGTTTTTGCTTCTAGTCGTCGTGGTAGAAGCGTTCCAGTGAAAACATCATTCACAAAACACGCAGATTATGAATAAATAACAAAAAGTCAACGTTTTATTTCTCACTGCTAAATTTAATCAAAATCATCTTACTCAAAGAAGCAGTATGTAACAATGATCATAGAACATACACTTTAAAAGATTGAACACATTGTGAAGATTAGTTGGTTGAACATTGAAAATAGATCAGTTCGATAAAATCTGTTATTTGGGATGCATGCTGATTTGAACGCAAAACTGCTCAGTATTTGGAAAACCTGGTTGTGCTGTCGTACAGCGGCCATTTCAAAAATCAATAGCAGCGAAATTTTTAACTTATTCTTTCAGCATGCAGCCCACACCTTGCTCCTTTGGGGTAACATTTAGTTCATGTATTCTTGGACAATTATTCAAGATTGAATTCAGCATTAATAAAAAACAGTTTCAGAACGCTAGTATTTAACGAAGTGTTCATGAATTTCCTAATAAAAACTTTCCTTTTTTAATTACTTCACAAATGTTGTTTGGAAGAATGCAGAACAATTTAATGAAAACTAATTTAAATTTTGAATTGAAGCCAAAAGTTACCTTCAATAATAAATAGCTGTTTTATAACAATTTTCTTCTGATAGACTATTAACCTATCTTAGTAATATCTAACTTGGAATTTCAATTTATATACCTATTCTTTTATATAGGGCAAATCGTGTCCGACGAATTCATTTCCTCTTCGCGGAACGATCGTAGTAAGTGATATTATAGATAAGTGGTATAATTGTTCAGATTTAACCTTGGACAAGTATATTCACTGAATGCCATTGACAGGGGACGAAAATAGATTGTGCATACCATAATCTACGATCAAAGTTCAGTTAAACCAACTGTCTCTTTTCAAAATTCGATACCTTTAAGCTGTACAGTGGTGCACAAAATTTCCACTAAGTGATTTTTTTAACATTGGGCGATGTAATATCTAAAACAGCAAAAAATGTTCTAATAATCACATGGAATTTCAAACTTATTGTTCAAAATTATTTACACTCTGTTCAGTGAAGGTTTAAGTTTGATTGATATTTCATTTAGACCGCATATATTCTTTTAGATTTAATTGCTCGTAAAGTATCTTAAAAGGTATTCAGTGCAGTGGTTCATCAAATTCTGACCAATTAGTATAGATTTTTCAATCCAGGCTATACTTTGTTTTAACAAACTCAAGTTGTAAGAAAGTTCTTTGCCTAATTCATTTATACTCAATTCGGTGAGGTCTTGGAGTTGATGGGGTTTTGCCTTATCGTTACTTAATGTGCCCCTACTACTGATTACGCTCGATGTGTTCCATTTCTTTGAGTGTATAGAATTCTTTTCAGGGGTATCGAGGTCATTGTTAATTAGCAATGGTTTTCATATGCACCATAGCATTTTCCTTCCTGTTGTAGGGCATTGCGAATGAGCTCTTCTATCTCTGTCGCCCCTAGACACAGTCGACATTGACCTTTTGGTTGTCTTATTTTTTAAGGTGATATATTACTATGACCCGTAATGAATGACCCGTAAACACGGAGAGAATTACTTTCTCCCGTTGGTTCTATTTCCGACTAGTCTTGTACGAGTAGTAGATTCTTATAGTTTTATCAATTTGGCTCTCTTTTGCCACAAAAAGGTTTTGGATGCCCTGTTGGCAGGCAAAGTTGTCAACTCTCTACTTGCCAGAATCCATTATGATTATCCATCCCTTATGATCTGTAATCCATCTTAGCGTCAGGTTTTTGGAAATCCCAATTTTTAAAAGGTATTCAGGCAGTTCCTTAGCTTGAAGCTGCCTGGCTATCTGATAGTATTCTTATTATTGCACAAATGAAATATTCGTTAATTATTCCATGTGGGCTTAGGCACCTTTGTTCCCATTTCCCCTATTTGAGGTTTATCTTCTTGTGCCTTATACTTTCACTTTGCACTTTTTTCAATTGCGTTAATTTAAAAAAAATAAAAATCTAGCATCTGTATGTACCATAGCCTTTTACTTGATATTGTCAGGCATTTGCAAAGGACAAAGGATCGTCTTTCTAGACAAACTGAGTTCATGTGTAGACTCATCGTTCAATGTCGTATGTTACTGGAGCGTGTTCCGTACATATTTTCAAATCACTTTTTATTGCGAAGGTCACTTTCTCCCATTGGATTGTTTTTCCAAGTGTCTTCTTGCTTGACTTACGCCTGACGTTCCGAATATTTGTTCTTTTTTAATTTGACTCTTGTTCATGCGAAAAAATGGCCTATGTATTTTTCTGGGGCTCCTTTTTGTGACCTCATATGATGTTTGCTTCTCGTTGCCCGAAATTGCCTCAAGACCTGGGATCCACCTTGAGTTGAACTATTTGTGGATCCCAGTGTTGTTAGGGCATGGCAGTTCCAGAGTAGTTTTGAACTGATCTCGTATGAATTCTATTATAGAAGTCTCAGTTTGTCAGTCGTTGCAAACGTTTTGTTATACATCCTTAAAGTTGGAAGTTGGAGTTGTTTTAAGAACACCTGGAATGATAACGTAAACAGTCCTTTTGATTTTTTACTCTATTTTGGTCAACTTCATTTAATTTACTTGCACATACGATTGGGTCTGACTATTGTAAGGTCCCCATGGTCTAACAGCTTTGGCATATTGGGCTTTTAGTGCTTTGTCGTGGGTTCTCTTGATGTTTCTATTCCATGTTACCTTTGGTTCGCGAATTATTCCTTCGTATTGATATCTTTGTAATGCGTTATTTCGCAGGGTTGAAGCTGAAACACTTATTCAATTATTTTTATTGAATGGCACACTTGGAGTAGTATGGCTAGCACTTCAGCTTGAAAGATAGTTGTGGAGCCCATAGTTACGCTCCTTTATGCACATACGTTTAGCGTCGCAATATACGTAACTTCGCAAACCAATGGTGAATTATTCTTTAACTCACTTCCATAAACGTGGTGTATCTTCTTTGATGACGAATGAGGGAAATCTCTCTCCGTCTTCATATTTGAAGTAATAAATTTGAGTAAAAAAAAGGAAAAATTAAATTAATTAATTAACAATTTGGTAGTTATCAACAAGAAACCTGTTATCAGGTTCTAAAATATTAAAACCGACGTTTTATGTTAAACAACGGAATATTTACTGCATTATTATCATTAATAGAGGATTAGTCTATTGAAACCTAAATAGTCGTAGTTATGCCAGTTTGGTCAAAAATTGTTAAATATCTTCAATGCTGTTCAAAATAATCCCCAAAATAAAATTGGGTCGATTTCAGTTTGGCAAAGTGCTTGATAATTTAGCATAAAAGCATGAAAACTGTTTATTGGGTTGCATGCTGGTCTGGACGAAAAACTGCCCAGTTTTTGGAAAATGTGGTTCTGCTGTATCCTACGGCGACCATTTAAAAAACCAATACCATAGAATTTTTATCTCCTTGTTAGTCCAGCATGCGGCCCAAGCCTCATTTGTTTAAATTAATTTTCTTTAAAAAAGCACAGAATCAGAGCATGCTACGTTTTCAAAAACTCAAAGTTTCTACTTCATACTGCAAAATTTAACCAAAGAAGCAGTATGTAAGAGTGGTCATAAAACATGTAAGGAACATGCATTTAATTTATGGAAATAGAAGAGGGATATTTTTCTGCATGGACAAAAACGAAAGTCTTTGATAAAGCATTTTTTATAAACATTATACACGATACAACAATATAATAATGCAACGTACAAGTATCGATAATGCTGAAAAGATTTTTCATTAGTGTTACACTTGATAAGAAGGTGACGAAGATATCTTTTTATCATGAATATTCAGTACCTCCCCCTTCCAAAAAAGTTTGATTTTTTTTTTAAAATTAGGAAATAACA